CACGCGCACACGCACACGCACACACACACGCACACACGCACACGCACACACACACACACCCACCCACACCCACACCCACACCCACACCCACACCCACACCCACACCCACACCCACACCCACACCCACACCCACACCCACACCCACGTACGTACACACACAGACACACTCACACACAGAGACACACCATACGGACGGAACTCTGCTTTCGTGGCACCGGTTGTTTGCCGGACACCTTTTCCAAAGCATTCAACGGCACCAAGGGATGGAGCGCGGGCAGCCCTGCTCACTCACACTCACCCACTCCGTCATTGACTTACTCCTTCACGTGCTCTCCCACTGTTTTTGCGTTTCCTGTCGATGCTTAAACTACATATGAGGGGTTATCCGGTCCTTTAATTCCTTTGTTTAAGTTTGTCACTCTCCGCTGTCTTTATTTCTGTTCTGTGTTGTTGGTTCTTTCTTTCGTTATTCCTTTCTGTAGTTCCTTTCGTGGTCAGTTGCTTTGTTATTTACGTTCTCACACTCGGACTCGCCAGATGAAGTCTCTCGGTTCGCAGTCGGGACTAGTTTGACAATCTGTGCATGTGCTGACAAACCAAAAGCGTGGGACGACGCTCAATGCACAAATCACGCCAGAAAAACATTCTTTGCTGCCGAGAGTTAATCATTAATCCAGCCGCCCGAGTGTTGTCCTGTGACACTCCTTGTACAACTGTTCCGGCGGTTCAACAACAGTGCCATGAGAGCTTTAGATTTGGACAGTTGGAAAATCCAGAACTCGCCGCTTCCTGCTTCAACCCTCGCAGTGCGTGCAACTTTCCGCGGAACAAAACGAGCAGCTGATCTATGGTAGCCGCACGCAATAGCTTGCGCAGATCCTGGACTTTCTCACAGATAAGAGATACTCCCCTGCTCATCATTCATCGACCAACTCTGTTCACACGAGCTGCCTAGCGGTTGTGCTGGCAGTTGTGTTGCTCGCTGTACACTGCACTGATGATCCAAACCCTCATCTTGCATTACTCGATCGCAACTCAGGAACTGTACGAGAACCTCCTTCTTGGAACAGCGTCGGGCTTACGCGATATTTGCTACGAGCTTTCGAAGCGGCAACGGATCCATGGCTACAGTCACCAACCTAGAACGTCTCAAAACAAAGCTTGGAAGTCTCGAGCCATAATATGGCCTTGAGCCAAAATGGCTACGGTTTGCTATTTCTTTCTTTCATTCCTTCCTTGTTTCGTTCGTTCGTTCTTTCCTTCTGCTGTTCCTTTTCGAAACAGGCCTCGTTGTCCAGCAGCCCGGTCTGTCCTTTCTGTTCTTCTTTCTTTCTTCCTTTCGTTCTTGCCTTCTGTCGCTCTCCCTCACTAAATTTTGCCCATAAAACTGGGAAACTTCTTTTGATCCTTGGAAAGTCTTTTGATTTGTTGTTTAAACCCCTATCCCACCCAAAAGAAACGAGTTAGGAAGAGGTTCTGAGAGAAAAATGATGCACCCCGATATCACACACGCACACACACAAGCACACACAAACTTCCCTCTGCAACTGCCTTGTTGGCTTCCGGCGGCTCGCTCTTTGCTGCGTGCCCTTGAGGGACGAACTCTGGAGCATTCAAGTTGAATGTGCTGCTGGAGGAAGGTCGCGCATGGAAGACTCCTCTGCAACTTCAATCAGCACACATCTTGGCGTGCGTGCAAGCAGGTTCCATTCTTGTCCTTTCCCTCAGTGCCTTAGTGAACTACGTACGTCTGCTGCTGCTCCTGGCGGCCGGGATGGAGCTGTTGTCGGGGGCCTGTCACTGGACAGCTTGGGCTCGCCTTCGAGCGACCCCGTTTGCGTCCTTAGCTGCGAGACTTTTGACAAGGGCGGTTCGGCGGCTCTTCAATGAACTTTTGCAACACAAAGCGACGGCTTCGTCCAGATGCCAGGCGGCCTGGCAGGAGCCTCCGGGCTAAGACTTGCGGTTCGGACGGGGCTTCCATATCAGGGACGAGAAGCAACACAGCTATGTCACATCTGTTCGCCTGCGCCGCATCAAAGGTGTTTGGGCGGCATGTGCTGGGTGTCTTTACGTTTGGAAGCAATCCAATGACGCGACTAATTTCTAAGTCGGCACACTGCCTTTCACGGCAGCCCGTCCGTCGGTGTAGATCTGCTGTCCTAATGCTGCGTGCATCTGCTCGCTGTGGTTTGACCTGTCAACCTGGCCTGCAAGCGCCTAGGCTTAGGCTCGATTCTGTCGGCAGAAGCTCGTTCTGCTCTAGGATTCTAGGGGTCCCCGAATCTTGAGTATCCCTAGAATCGCTACATGCTTGAACACAGCAGGCTTTCCCAGGCCTGCTCTGGAAGGTTGCCAGGACGAGAAAAAAAAGGCTGTGGTGGCTGTGACGGAACGTCCCCAGACTCGGACCGCGAGTAGGTGCTCGCAATCTCACTGTCGCTGTCGACATACCTTGGTCACCGCAGCAACTGACAGCAGCCGAAATCTTTCACAGTGGTGACTCGTCTTGCTTTCCCTGCTGTCCCGAATTGTCGAACAGCACTCTAGCTGCATGCTTCATATCGCCCCACTGCACGAAACATCAAAGCAAGTTCATCATAATCGACCCATCGCTTTCGAGGCACGGGTTCCAGAACACTTGACAACTTCGGTCGCTTCTCTCCGATGGGCCCTCCGATGCCTGAGACAGAGTGCACCCAGTCATCAATGTAAAACCAAGCCAAAGTCCGAAGGCTACCCACAAACAAACGCTCCGCTCCACTGAACGTGGCAAGGTGCACAGGGGGGATATTTTAGTAGCCCCTAAAGACCATGCACACATGAAGCTGCAACAAACGGTGTCCAGCACATGAGCGAGGATATGAGGTAAAACCACAGTCCCTACACAACAGCAACACCCTGTAACACCCTGCCTTGGACGATGCAGGTTGGGCAGACTCTCCCGGGAGGGCAGAGGAAGCTCTGGGTGAGTGCTGCTGGGACCCTGCTCCACTGTGTCGGTCTCCGATGCCGTTGAATGAAAGGGCATCCTGTGTGATGCCGCCTGCACAGCAAAACGAGAGTGCATGACCAGTGGCGGAATCAGCCATCTCCCGGTTCAATCACTTTCAGCTATGCTGCCCTGCCTGCTAGCATGCCCGAAAAAAAGGTCGCCACTGAAAAATGTCACGTCAGGACAGTGGCCGAAAATGGCATCTCTGGCATGCGACCAGCCGGAGGAGCTACCGGCATTTCAAGGGGCAGTGTGTCGGGAAGCATTTCTGTGTGCTCGTGATTCGGGCTCTTCGATGCTCTGCAACCATGAATACGTTGGCTCTGTCATTGCTGTACCTGCGTGACATGCTGCGTGGACTGCATTAACTGGGAATTTGCTGCCATGAGCCCGTTGCTCACCTGAGCCACCGTCCTTCGGAACACTTTGCGCATAAGTCAAACTCCTCGTCCCGCATGTAGCCGTGTCGAAAGCCGTCACCCTGTCAGAGACATCAACAGCATTCCCCACTCCCCCCCGAGTCTAGCTGAGAGGTGCGCCGTCTTGTTGACCAATGTATTCGAGGAAGACGTTTGCTTGGATATGTTGCTGTGGTTCCCTGTGTGAACCAAGGCTTGTGATGCATTATGAGAAGCCGGGTGCACCCCAGCTCCGGCGACAGCGCTGTGCTGGCTGCTGTGACTTGGTCGTTTCGGGATCGTCATGGACCTCAATTCTGCAGAGCCGTTGGCCAAAGCGCCTCGCAGCACAACAAAAGGCAAAATTCAGCTAAACTGCACACATACCAGCAGCAGACTGTCAGCGGCTTGTTTGGTGTCAGCCCTGCCTCTACGACTGGTTTCCACATCACAGCTCGTCGTTAGTGCATGTGCAGGCATAACAAGTACAAATACAGTCACACACATATCTCGTCCTTCTGCTCTACAATATTCATTACAGCCAGGCACTTTGCCAGCAAATGCACCAACACACCAAAATCGGGTCTTCCAAAATCAGCAAAACCCCTGCCTCCAGAAGGCTTCCGCGACCTAAACGTCTTGCAAGCCGTTTGTTGTGGTTTGTGCGAACAGGCAAGAAAGAACTGCATCTTTAAGACTGCGAATCTGATTATGCCCGAAGTGGGGTGCAATGGGCTTCAACAATAAAAACACTGTTTCTGCGTAGTGACTTGCGACCTTGTAAATGCAAGGCATGCCGAAAAGGCGTGAAGGTGCAACACTGCTGTGAAAGAATCGGCTGCAGGAACCGTGAAACCGACAAGCACTGGCAGCTTCTCTCCGACGTGAGCTCAGCAGCTCGCGCTTCTGTACGAGGTGGCTCGCTGTGCAGCCTCGTTTGGAGAAAAACCACGTAGGACCTGAAGGCCACAATCATCCACTTGTCGCATGCCATGGACTCCATAAACTCCTGTGAAAGTTTCTGAACGCCGAATTTCAATAATCTAGATCAAGCAACTCAGGCCAGGGCGAGAGGCTTTCAACTTCGAAGGCATCCTCTATGAATGCGGCTGCCCGTTTGGCCTGGCATTCTGCTGTGAAACTGCCGAAGGATGAAGTTCCCCTGTGCTGGTTTTGATACGACGAAAGTAAGTGTCAAGCCGAAGTCTGATCGTATCTGACTCGCCCAACTTCTTAATGCAACTCAATCACTCTACTGAGAAACACGCATGGCATGCGGACTCCATATTTACAGATGTGGGGCACCGCTCCAGCTGGTTCAGTCAGGTGCAGCAAAACAGAGGCCGAAGCCGCAAGGCTATCCGATGCAGTGCAAGTGAACGGATGCCTGAGATGATACCGCGTCCCTGGCACCACAAAAATACTGTAGCCAGACCGCATAAAGAGGCAGAGCCGTCTACGAGGGCGCTCAGCTTGCCACGCAGGAGACGTCCCGTGTCCTGCTTCAAGACGTGCTGCAGTTGTGAGGACTTGTTCCTGGCCACAGCGAAACCACCCCAGGCTCAGCAGATTCTCCAGGAAGTGAGGTGCAGCCGCACCTTGCTGATCGGCCTCATCACAGCCGTCCTCAGAACCGTTGTCGGAGTCACTGGAGCTGCTGCTCTCGTCATCCAACGATTGCTCGAAAACGCCGTCAGATGCTGCAGCAGGGCCAGTAGCGCTACTGCCAGCAGAGTGGTTCAGCTGGTCTGAAGGATTGGACACCACGGAAGCAGAGTCCTGCCAGCGGCCACACCTACTAACATCAGGGCAAGAAGAGCCAGAGCCCACAGCACGGACAACCTTCAGGGGCTTATGCAGAAATCCAGCAGCGTCAGAGTCCTGTGTCATCGATGCCCATCTTGGAACACCAGCTGGTTGTCGTCGCCTTGCAGCTGTGGCTCCTCACCTGCTGAGTGAGGCCATACTCAGCGTCAGGAGCTGCTGAGACAGTCCGTGAAGCAGAGAGGGCAGGAAGAAGAGGGTGGTCCAGCGGCCCAGAACCAGAACCTTGGTAAACAACAGTCAGCGGCAAGAACAGGTTCCCCCTCGCGGCAGCCTTCACCTGCTTGGGGTTCCGAAGCCTGCACTCCACAAAGCTGTCGGTGCCATCAGGTGTCAAGTCGGTGTCAAGTCGAACTCGATGTGAAACGCGCGGGCCAGGTCACATCGCCCGGCACGTGCGTAGACCATGAAGTACAAAGTGGCAGCGACCAGGCGCTCGTAGTCGTCCGTATCTGCGCCAGAGGTAATGCCAGAGGTACTCCAACCACGTGACCTGAGCAACAGAAAGTGGCGGCGCCTGGCTGACCGGTTCCTTAGTGCGCAAGTGAGAGTGTGCAAAAGGCCTTTGACACGAGGTGACAGAAGGTCACTGATGGGCACAGCACAAAGTTCAGGCGGCTGACAAAGATATCGATGCTGCTGGCCGCAGCATTGGCCTGCAGCCATCGGCATTGAGCCCAGATCCACTGCTCACCTGTGCTTTCCTCAGGGCAGGCTCTGCGAGCCCACAGCACGAATCTTGTGAGTGACTGGGCCCGCAACAGAAGCGTGTTCGTGCTCTTGCGGCTGGGCAGCAGCTCAGCCATGGCCTGATCACCCTTGTCAGGAAGGTCAGAGATTGTCCTTTCAGGAAAAAAGTTGGGAGCCAACTTCAGCAAGTTGGACCACTTGCACAGCACCTGCAGTCGCTGTCGGGTGTCCTGACGTCGACCAAGCACTGGTGCGCCCTGGTTAAGGCCCTGCAAGACTGAGGAGCAGACGTAAGCCGACGAGCTACTGTGTGTGCTGGGCCGGCGTTGGCAGGTGCATTCACTCTGACTCACTCTTGGCACAGGCACAGGTTCAGGTAAACACAGTAGCTCAGACAGGGTGCTGTCCGGTGACCCAGGCTGATCACTCAGAAAACTGAACTGTCCACGTTCCCAGGGCTGTGGGTAGCACCTCAGGTTGTTCCGTACAAGGCCAAACAGAAAACCAGCACTTAAGCCAACATGGCCGCGAGGTTGTATCCCAGTGTCTTGCTCGCAAAGTGAACTGAATGCAAGCGCTTTATTGGGAAACACGCATGGCATGCGGACTCCTTGTTTTGCAGACGTGGGGCACAGCTCCAGCTGGTTCAGTCAGGTGCAGCAAAACAGAGGCCGCAAGGCTATCCGATGCAGTGCAAGTGAACGGTTGCCTGCGATGATACGGCAGACAGCAGCACCTTCCCGACGTCCACTTTTTCTGGTCTGGCCTGCGAGAGGAAGTCGGGGCAGGCGCCACGGCTGGGCTGGTCATTTGGTCTTTTCATTCAAGCGGACTGAGTCAGCCGTCACGCGAGCGAGCGTGAACTAGTCACCCCTACACTGAGGGTTCGCCACTGATCATTGCAGTCGCCTGAGCGATCAGCGCCAAGCAGCCGCTGGCTACTGCTGTGCCCCTAAAGGCCCGACCGAAGCAGCGGAGTTACAGTGTTGAAAGTATGCTGAGTCAATTGTCTGACTGAAAAGTGGGACAACGAGCAACTTGAACTAGGAACCAGGCTGCCGCTCCTGAACCACCTCCCTGGCGTGGTAGTGCAGGTTCAAAAGCTCCTGCTCAGGAAGCGCCTGAAAGGCAGCAGACAGGGTGTCACTGTCACTGCTCGCGGAACTTCGCAGACAGCGAATCGAAGTAGTGAGAGGGGAGATGCTGATGGCTCGCAGCAGGAGAAAAGCAACAGGGCACAGCAGAAACAAAACAGAAAACCAGCACTCAAGCCAAAATGGCCGCGAGGTTGCATTAAAGTGTCTCGCAAAGTGAACACAACAGAGCCAAGGTTTCCCCATGACATATGACGCTTGCAGCTCATCACGTATGTCGCAGGGCAGTCGACCGCCAAAGCTCGACGGAACGTCAGCGCACCTCCACGTGGAAGAGTGGGAAGGCGATCAGCCATCTCGGTTTTTGCAGAGATCGGCGCTCTCGCTGCAAGTGGGGAGCCAGGAGTCTCGCGCATGATCTGAACAGGTTCGTCTTGGATTGTGAGCCGAAGCCAACACACCAGAAGCCGAATAATATTTCCGACCACTATGTTGCAGTTCTGTTCGTCTTGCGTCCCACAGTACCGCATCCAAGCCATGGTATACTGTTCACGCACTCACTCATTGTGCTGACCAGGGTCATGCATCTTCTCTGCCACTTCCGCGGCCTCAGCTTTCGTGTGGCTTGCAAGCAGGCTCTTGCATGTGGAAGCTCCGCAGGGGTAACGTCTGTGTCGCATGGCTCGAAACCACCCAGGCCCGCGTCTGTTCACTTCTTTTTCTATTTGCTGTTTTCCCAACCAAGCTGGGAGCAGGACTATGCTCAAACAATCGTTCCCACGCTCCCCATTTCTGCAGGACTGATTCTTCCGCCTGCTCTGTAAGAACTATGAAGTCCCCGTATGCTCTGGCTTGGTTGATTGATGCTTTGCGACTCGGATGTCCATGCGAGGGCGGCGCACATCTTGTCACTGATCTCCCTCTGAATTGCCGGAGCTGTCAGGCACCAGACGACTGAATCTCACAAAGCAGTAACGAATGTCTTAAAAGCCCATAAGCATTACATCGCAACCACTGACAAGCTTGGGCTCTTGCCCCATGGGCTCTACGGGCTGGCCCGGTTCGGTTCACTAGGCGAACTCCAGCATGCTGGCTTTGAGCCACCAACCATCGAGTGCGCAAAAAACAGGATCTGCACATGGCGAGCCCAAGCTTGGCTGACCAACTGCTTGAGACTCACGCACATTTCCGCACAAGATAATGCGAGAATCGATTCGCGGTGCTGCAAGCTACCTTTCTTCAGCGTGCCACGGACAAAGCTGGCATGTCAGCTCGGTCCTGAGAAAGCACTCTTCAGACTCTTGTCATCACGTTCGCAAGCCCAAGCATGCTCGAAGGCATCCGTTATTGGCGCCTTCAGCTTCTCTTCTTCAAGCAGAGGAAAGCCATGTTCATGTCAAACTCCTACAGCGCACGCGCAAAACCCAGCAAACAGGTCACTTGCCGCTTGCAGTTCGCTAGTCCGCTAGCGGACACGAGGTACACCTGTACATGGACACCAGGACCGGCAGGCAGGCAGACAAACAAACAATGGATGCGCGGTTAACGGAAGGATGGACATGCCGACATATGGAGAGGCAGTGGCATGTGGAGACAAATATAACAAAACAGCGAACATGACGTGCACAGACACGCGCACGCGCAAGCGCGCGCACACGCACCCACACGCGCACGCATCCACCCATCCACCAATCCACCCACCCACCCACCCACCCACACCCACCCAAACCCACACCCACCCACACCCACCCAAACCCACACCCACCCACACCCACACCCACACCCACACCCACACCCACACCCACCCACACCCACACCCACCCACACTAGCCCACGCCCACCCTCTCCCACCCATACCCATCCACACCCACCCCCACCCACCCACCCACACACCAACCCACACCCACACCCACACCCACACCCACACCCACACCCACACCCACACCCACCCACACCCACACACAGACACGCAGACACACAGAGACACACACACACACACATACCTACATCTCCTGTTTATTCATACCCTTGTTTGCAGAATGGACAGTGACTACGCTTTTCTGCTCTCAAGGGCTCAATGACTCAATAATCAGCATGGCTGGAAGACAACCAACAAGTCGGTCTGTGCCAGTCCTTCTCGAGCTCTTGATGCTCCGAAACCGGGTCGAAGCCCGCAGCAGCCTGACGTCAGTGATGGTCCGCTTCGTGCCAGTAGCTGTAGCTGCAGGCACGAGGAGTCGGTAGCTGCACACGCAGTACGGACTAGGCATACGGTCAAACCCTCGCCGAGGAACGGCCAGATCGTACATTCCGGCTGTGCTCCAAAGATGAGCTGCGCCCCACTCCTCACAACGTGTGTATTTTGACTAGCTGTGAGCCATTGCTGCAAGTGGCGTGTTGGTGCTTAGGTCCGAGAGAGTGTGGTCAGTATGGTCTACGATGGGCTGCCTAGACGGTCGTGCTGAGACATCTCGGTCAGACTGTGGAGAATGGACAGTGATCCAGAGTTGCCGCAGCCAACATTGCAAAACATGCCTGGGTTCACTGGGTTCGATCATGTGTTTGAAAGGCCTTCGGCGCACTGGGCATCTGCGCTCCGTGGGTGGGGCCTTCCCAGAACCTCAGACCATGGGCCGGCTGTGCAAGGAAGGCTCGTGTGGTGTTCCTCCGGTATAACAGCACATCGGGAAAGAAAACTGCATTGTTTCTTTACCCGGGATATCCTGCTGGCAACGGAGCCAATTAGAGCCCGATCTGCATGCAAAGCATGTACGAACGATTTCAAGAGCTCATCCCAAGAAGGAACAAGGGAAATAGAGGGTGTGGCCCTGAATTCGCTGTTTGAGAGGGGAGCTGTCTTGTGATGCTTAAGCACCAACAGAGTATCTGCAAAGGAGCGTTGCAATTTTCTGCAGCAACCACACACACCCCCAGAATTACCAAACCCAAGCCTCCAGCCGGAAGCAACGTCAACTGTCATATGGTGTCGCGCAAGGACTTGCCAAGACGGATCTTTAAACCTCCGACGAACCACTCTGAAGGACGTGGACCCGTGAATCCAGGAACCAGCTACGAAATCCTAAACACCACCCATAGAACATCATGAAACAGTACTGCATTCCGAACAGCTGGCTTGGTACCGTCTGATTATACCCGAGGCTGAACTTGACGGCTCTTGCCCATTCTCTGTGCTCAAATCACTTCGATCCCGGTAGACATATTACAAGTACTGTCGACCAGAGCTCTAACATCACCTGGATAGTTTGCCTCTACCTCTCCGAACTACAACTTCCAGACGGATTCTTAAAGAAGCTAAGCACTGCAGTGCCGAGCTGCGCCAGTAGGAGGCAACCGTTTCCTGGATTCAGGTGGCTGACTTGGAGATCCCAGAGCCCCCAACCAAAGCTTGCTTGCGACGACGACCCTGGAAGCGCGCTCCTCTGAGCACGCGGGAAGCCTCCCCCAGAGCAGCCTTCACGCCCGTCTCATCCACATGGTGGATGGCCTCTGACTCTAACGAGTTTTCTGTCGTGAGACGGAAATTTCAGAGGATGGGCTAGGCTATCGTGAAGGCGAAGTTTACAGCGTGAGCGAAACTTGACTTGGCCGCCTGCCCAAAGACAGAAAGCCCATGAAGCTTGGCTGAGCAGAAGCTGTGTCTGAGACTGCCACGAACATGTTGATCATCCCTGGCAGGTTCGGAGACAACGTGCATTGCTGCACATCCAAAGAACATCGCTCATACAATCGGAGTCCACAGTACCAGCGAGTCAACTCGGATCCCACGAGTGCAGCGCATGAAACGGATGTCTCGGGACTCACCAGGACGGTGTTTCCATCGGCTTTGGTGCTGGAAGCAATGGAAGGGAGTTTTTCGTGGCGTTCAGCTGCTGCTACAGGCAAACATCCTCTGACATTTTGAGATTCATTTCGCTGGCCGTAAATGATTCCGCGATTCGATGGACCATCATCACCACCACCCCAGGGGGTAAGCAGGCCCAACCAACATCAGCACTCCTAACCTACTTTGTATCAGGACCAATAATCCCTAGCACCCTCCCCGGACATCTCCAGTTCTGGCCTGCCAACTGGGCATCTTTGAAAGCACCGGACAGATCCTGCCAGTACCACAAGCGCGCAGCTTGTCATGTTTTTGAATCTGTTTCTTCCGCAGGGTCATCAGCTCATAGGGCCAGAGCCGCCAGGGTGTTGCAACTCAAAGTTGCCCTGCCAGCTAGAGCAAGACACTGTCTCCATTCAGCAGTACTTCGTTTCAGCTCTAATGTCTGTGCAAGTGTGGTTTGCAGGCCTACACTATTTCTCATGCGAAGCCAGGTGAAGGAAGGCACCATTAGTGAGCACAGTGATTGAAGCAGCGAAACCACGTGCATTCGACATGCCGGCATCTTCGTCATTTACGACGGTAAACAGGAGCAGTTCTTTCGCAGTTCTCGCAGGGGGCATCCGCATACCAGAAGTTCACTTAACGATGCAGTACGAGTAGAAATCGACCAAAGATTCCATACACTGTCCGTCATGTCGGCACGCTGAAACGTTGCATCGGGAAGCCGCTTGGCAGCTCGATCGACCATGTCCTGTCACGGCTCAGTCTGAGCCCTCTCTTGTGTCTCCGCACAGCACACCCTTGGATGAGCTGGTGCCACAGAGTAACATCCTAAGGGCATCTTCTCCGCATTTCATGTGCCCGTGTTTGCAACATCGCACAACCCTTACGAGGGTAGCAGAACGTCAGCGCACAAGGCATGTCCTGGCAAAGGTCGCTGCCCATGAGAGGCCGTGCTTTCTGTCGCTCCTGTTGCGGCATTGTGGAGATTCACTGGGATTGACTGCCCCAAGCATCCATGAACATGTCTTATGGGGCATGTCTCAGTGTAGTCGTTTGCTTGACTGTTGACCTCAAAATACTTCATGGGGATGTTGAGAAGGCTTGTCGCCTGACTGTCCTGCAGCATCGCCAAGACATGTCCAGGTCCGCAGGACACGTCCGCCACTGGGCCCTCGAGTTCTCCAAGCCCTCCCAGGCACACCGAACTGCCAAGCATCTGTACGCCGCTGCACGTGAGTTGCGGAGCTGGACCGTTGGCATGGCGTGATCTTGATGGGCCTGACAACAGCATGTCCACTATCTTGTCGTAGAGCACTTTCTTGTCGATCACCTCCTGGTCAAGCATCGACCTCAGCTGCATTATCTCCTCTCCAGGCCAGGGCCCGTCTCCACAAGGCATGGAAGCAGCAAGCAATCACCCGTAGCCGCCAGAAGCCGAACCTCATCGAGATAATCGGCACCAGCACAAGACAGCATTCAGGTGCGCAGCCCTTTTGCAGTGCAAACTGCTTACCATAGTAGTCGCAGGAGTGTTGAATTCTATCCCGCTGAAGTGCGTCGTGTGCATCGCGAGAGAAGTTGAAACTGGGACCGACGGGACGCAGGTTTTCTGTTACGACCTCTGGATATTGTTGGCACTTGCTCTGCGAGAAACTCAAGCGTCCTCTATCTCTCTTGCATCCACAACAGAGAGACCGCCATCTCTGAGAAAGATCACCACGTCGCGACATGAATCGTCCTCCCCAAGCTTCCCTCAATTTACGTGGGCGTCCGAGGCACTCGAGTTGACGCGAGCCTGGCCTGTGCACTTCATCTACGGCTCTCCCTGCCCTAATCACGCGAAATGGGGGAAAAGCAATTGCTCGGCTAGTCCCGCCACCTGGATGCTGCAGAGTCGCTCGTAACCAGCCGCTGACTTCCCGTATGAAGCGGCCAACTCTTCCTCTCCACTCAGTCAGAGATCGTCAAAGCATGCCCGAGCTTTCGTGAACCGACCTTGCTGATCATCTCCTTTGGCTCGGAGGTGGCAGCATCCGCGCGCACGTCGGAGGACATTGCTGCAAGAATGCTATTTTGCTATACTCTACTATGGATGAATCCGGACTGACGGGTGCCACAACCCCGCGCATATCTTTGTTCAGAAAGAATCGAGAGAAGTAGCCCGCAGCCGTCCATCCTGCAACTCACGTCGCCGTGCAAAGCTTGATGTGCCAAATGGCTTTCATTGGTGACAATTCGAAGGCAAAAACTTCAAAAGCGACTGTGGCACTTGCACGCCAAGTCAAGCGGCCTGAACAGAAATGAGAAGCTGCTGTGACAGCGACCACTGACACAACAGTAAACTCATTCTACAAGGCATCCAGGCACCAAAGATACCGCCGTGGGACATGCAAGGCTCAGGCTTAGCACCCAGAAATTTGGCTGCGCCATTAAACATATACATGAATAAATAAATACATATAAATATGAATATAAATAAAAATATATATATATATGTATATATATATATGCGCACACACACATATGTATATATATATATAACCGGTGTCTGGGACTCCGCAACCTTCAGCTATGAAGGCCCTTTTCGACCTACGCTTCTGCTGCCCGCGGCACAAAAGGCCAACTGCAGATGGTGCGATCGTCATCAGGCCCCCTGCACAAAGGTGGCCGGCCGCCATGTTCCTCCGCAAAGCAGCATCCCTGCGTTGTGTCCCTGTCACCAGAAACCACTTCTTCCTACTTACCTGGACTCTGCCAGCGTGAGGCCAAGAGAGCTCCGGCGAAAGCCTGCAGTCCTGCAGAACCTTAAAGCCGCACTTTGTATTAAGGTTCGGTCATGCAGGGCTTGCAGTATCAGCCGCTCTACAGTACTTCGCAAATCTAACGTAGGAGCACCAGTCAGAGTGGCAGTAGTATGTAACAATTTTGCTGTGCCTCCTTTGCGCTGGTGCTCCAGTGAATGGCCGAAAGGTGGCATCAAATTGCCAAAGAATGCGTAGGCTCCCATGTACATGTTCTTGCAAACTTTCGGCTTGTTTGATGCTGCACCTCTCTAAGCATGCGAGGCTTGCTCTGAAATCTTGTTGCCACAACAGCTGGCACTAAGCTGCTAGAATGATGACATGATGTGGTGACTCTTGACAATCCTGGCAGCTGTCTGAAGTTGGTCCCTGGTTAGCAGGCATTCTCGGGAAACCGCTTGTGATGGGATCAGGCCCCGTCATGCTCTTCCTCGATGCAACGTACCAGCTCCTTCGGCCATGAACGGATGCGACTGATACATGAGCCCATCTCCAGGAATACATGGACCACCCGCAGAGGACCAAATCTTCTCATGCACCAGCAACTCAGTACAGTGGACGGATTTCCTTACTTCCATCCAATGTCATACAACGTGCGTTCTGCCGCCAATGAAAAGACACGAGCCTTCTGCACCTTCTCTTGGATCTCAGCAAGTGGCCTAGGCGAGCCAAGAAGCATTTGCCTTGCGGTTGCTTGGCACATCTCATCCATCCCGAACCCTAGAGCTCAGTGCCGCACGCATAAGAAGGGCTCTTGTCCGCCTTCTAGCACTGCATCGTACCAAACCGGCAACTATGGCGTTTGCTACATGGAATGCAACTTGAGCTTCTGAAACATGTATCAGTTACACTCCATATGCAATTCACAATGGACGGGCAAACACGATAACGTGCTGGAGGGCCTGTTCCAGGAGAGACTGGACAGGTCTGAAGATTTCCTGCTCGAGGACCTGTATCCGAGTTGGAGACGAGAATGTGCATGCGTTGATCCGGCGCATGGGCAACCGGTGCCTGAACGGTCATGCGCAGGTCGTACAACGCGGCCATCTTCAAGACCCGTGCCTGCCAGAACCCTGCACTGACAAGATCCTGCGTCCTTCTGTGAATGGGTGGGTGGGGACAGGGGATGCAGGATTCTAGAAAGCTTTCGGGCCCACGGGTTGTAGCTTCTCGTCCCCGTGCCGTATCTCAGTATATTCTGAGCCTTCGGGCAAATGGGGATGGCCAACGTCTGCTTCTGCAGAAACCTGAGCCGCAGCAGGTCGGATCTGAGCATTCTCCCATGAAGCCGGCTGTGCCTAGCAGCATCTTCACACGAGTTTCGGTGTTTAGCACACTGACGGAATAAAGGCTGCCTGAGTTCGGTTGATCCGAAGTCTGGTCGACCCTCCGACCTACTCTAGCCCAGCTTCCTTTGGCCATGAGGCGGGGCCAGGAGACCCGTCGATTTCAAGGCTGACTGAAGGACCTGTGCTGGGAGAACGAAGCCTGCAAACTCACGGAGCCTCTTCTCCCAAACGAGCAGTCAACTTCAAGCTTCAAGATCACTTCTCTCACCCGGACCCGGCACCTCTGCAAGATCTCCAGGATCAGCCTGCACCCGCTCTTGAAGCTCGGTGCCGACCTGGGTGCAACTTCCAATGCTAGAACTCGGATGTGGTCACGAAGCAGTCTCTGCCGTGTTTCGATCTGAGGACCATGCTTCCCGTGCATAGTTGCTGAGCCTCGGATTGTGCCGGACATTTTGGACGGAGCGGTGTACTCTGAAGTTGAAGGGGTGTCTCGTTGATAAGCAGGGATGGGCAGGGACCGAGGATGCACATCATGGGCAATAAGCTGGCTCATGCCTTCGCTGGTCGAAGTTCGTACTTCATGCGGACAAGGTCAACATCAAACATCCTAATCGCAAGGCGAAGCGAGCGTTTGCGACCATGGCTGTGGCAAGTGCTTGGGAATTTGCAAAGTTTGGAAAGAGTGTTGCAGATCGTTGGCCGACGAAGCATCTCCGCGGCCTTCCTGCTGAAACCCTTGCCGAGAAGTCGGCAAAAGTCAACCCCCACAGGCTTGGGCGTAGGGAAGCTTTGGACGGGCGGGGCCAATGGCACGCTGCTCAGGCACCACGCTCAACTGCTGGCGGGTAGCAACGTGTGGACTCTGCCCTTTGCCTCTGTGGACACCGCCGGGATAAGTTGGCGGTTCGCCTCGCATCATCTTACGCTGCACGGTAGCTTCTGCAGGCAAGCACCAATACATCCGTGCACAGTATCTTGTCACGCTCCATGTGTCCATCCTGCAAGAACTCCCTCACATTCTGCTGGTGTGTCAAGATCTCCGCCTCAGTCCACTGAACGGCCCACTCCGGTGCATGACGACGTCGGGCTCGGTGGCCATTTTCACGGGTAGATTCGTGCTCTCAGGTCTCATCACCCCATGGGGAAACCTGAAGCTCCGACATTCAAACGCTGGAGCACCTGTGCACGAAAGCGCACACGGTTCAACTGGATCGCAGGACGGTCTGCTTGAGTAGGCGCCTTGTGGTTGTTATTCCGCTGCGTGACTTGCCTTTGGCACTGCAATGCACCAACTTGCCTTTAGCCGCAGAGTTTTCGAGATTCAGCCAACTTGAGCCCAGGGCCTCCTGATGGCGGCCTGTGCTGAGTCCTCTTTGCTGTGCCGGCGCGGCTCAGGAGGGCTCACCGACCTGGAAAGCGTCGCGGTCTCTTATGTGCGCTGCCTGGGCACCAAGGATTCGGACTCGTCGTCGGAACCATGATCTGACGGCTGCGACTGGTCCTCCGAGAAACTTTGCCAGTGCCTCTTTCAAGATGCAGCTCGTCCCCTCCTTTCCCTCCGATGCGTCGTCTTTGTCAGCTTCGGCAGGTTCAGGTCCCTCCTGGATGCAGATGCATTGCAACAACACGTGGACATGTGGCGGCTGCATGCGGTTGCGATTCGATTGTCTCTTCTTGTCTCTTGCTCTGCTTTCCCCGGATTCCGACCACCCAAGACTCCTAAGGTTGCCGCATGCCTCTCCTCATAATGACTGTCCTTGGAGCGTAAGCCGACGTAAGATTTCGTCCTTTTCCAGCCCCACCCGGGAGTTGGTTTGTAGACATGCTTAGTCCCTCCCTCCCTCCCTCCCTCCCTCCTTTGCTATCAGGTCTTCTTCGTCAAGCTTGCAGAACTGTAGAACTTGGGCAGCAGACCCCCCCTCCCCCCAGGCGCAACGTTGGGCCGAACACAGACTTGGCTGGATGCCAACATGCGTGCTCCCTCTCCCTCTCCATGCCCTCCATCCACGCCATTGGCTCAGGGCTTAGGATTCTGGATGCTCACACTAACGTGTGCAGAGAAACCGTGACATTTGGCAGGCACTTCATCATCCGTGCCCGGACCACGGGACCAGCCTCTGCAGTCTCCTTCTTGGCCTCTACGGCCTCATGCTGCTTAGACTTTGATTCATGTTCTCGGAAGTCGGCACTAGCAACCTGTATGATGCCTGCATGCACTGACGATGTCCCTCGACCGCCGCAATGGCCGCAGACATTGCCGCATTGGAGGCACTAGCAGCTGCTAGCGAGGCACGGACCTTGGCACGAGCTCACGCCGACAAGACGAAGACAGCAAGCAAACCGCACAGCGCTCCTTCGATCCCCGTCGCTACGAAGGCATGTCCGAACTCTTCTTGCGTTCGAAGCGACGGCAGCATTGACGAAGCGCTCGGCTGCTTCAGAAGCCTGCAGAATGCAACTATGTCTCGCAAGTTTCGAAAGGATCATTCCCGCTTGTGCCTCAAGGCCCTCTGGTGCCTGAAGCTCTGCCGCTGTAGTCTCCGTGACCTGTTCGGCTCACATCAGCTCGAAGTTGCAGGCCGCTGGATGCCGCTGGATGCGGCTTGCGGCTTGGGAGGGTCAACGTCTGCTCTTGAAACGTTTTGCAGCCTCCGCGCAGGCTAGGGCCGCATTCAGGGCCTCGAGGCCCAGCCCCATTGCCTGATATCCGTTCGCACTCTCAGGGTCTCCACGAGGTGTCAGGGCAGTAGCTTGAGAGCTGGCCTCTGTGGAGCTTTCGGCACATGAGGCTTCCGTGAATTTCCTTCACACAGACGTTAAACCTCAAAATTGAAGGCGGAAGCCTCAGCAGCAGGCCTGGATGCTAGGCGGCACTGGGCTGCTACATCCATGGTAGCATAGCCCACCACACGAACGGCTTTCACAACGGTCAGTGTGAGGACCTCTGGCGGATGTGATCCAATCAATGAGCTCTGGTCTGCATCACCACCGACAAAGTGCCCGGCAATGGCCGAATGTGCAATGGACTTGGTTAAGGTGATGGCGCCACCAGAGTCACGACCTGCGGAGCATTCGCCAAACTCCCATGCCCAGTAGACCTAGACAAGCCACCGTGGATGCCGTTGGGTGGCCAAGGATCCAATACAGCAAGCCCTTGAGGTAAACAGGAGGGTCTGCAGACTTCCAACTAAACGATAAGTTTTCGAAATCGCAATGGAATTGCTCTGTAGAAAAGCCATCTGAGCCCTGGCGGCATCCCCGAAGGGAGGTGATATTCCAGTACACAGCACAAGATGTGTTTGTGTGGAAGGCTGGTGAGGAAATGCTTATGCTGCTTGTTTAAGTCAATCTGCTGGATGTGCTTGTTGCTTGTCAACAGCAACTCGTTCCACGCACTGCTCATAAAGTATCAAGCGTGTGTTTCGAACGACGTGTCATGGCAAGCATGTGGGCGAAAACTGAGTTCAATCATCGCTAAAGTGTTGTCACGCAGACGAGTCGACGCCGTCAGGCAGCACAACACACAGCCTGACCCATCGCAGTCTGAGCGGATCGAGTGTAATCAGTCCAGTCGTTGTCAGTGTCAGGTAGCTGGACAGGGATGTGGCAATCGTCGATGCCGCCTTGATGCTTGCAACCACTTTTGCTTTGATCGCAAACCCTGTTTCTGTCCGATGGCAGTTGTCTCCCACGACAGCAACCTGTGTCTTACGGTTGCGCCGGCAACTCAGTAGCCAGCACCGGACTGTGCCATGCTTGAACCATGGCAACACCCTGCCTTGTCGCGCCGTTTCCGCTGCTTCTGCAGCCTGGTTAACAAGTACACAGCGTGTCAGAAACATGCATTCCCGGGAACCATGCACCTGGTGGGCGAACTCAGCAGCTGTCTTGGCCTTCGATCGCAAGTCGGCTTCAGGCATCTGGCATTTAGGTGGGAAGCACCAAGTAGAAACCACTTGTAGAAACCACTTGTTGTGCAGCAGAGGCTCGTAGCGCGAGGCCTCGTCTGCCGCTTTGGCGGCCTTGGCCAGGAGCTGGGCATCGGAGCCGTCCTGCAGAAGGCAAGAATATAAAGAATAGAACACATCGTTTCCCGGCATCTTCTTTGGAACCTCTTCCGACTCTTCTGCCTCAGCTCGCTCTGAGGAGGCTTCTTTTTTCTCCTGTCAGGCTTTCGGATGGGTTACCCTTTCACACTCGGGCTGCCAGGCGAGGTTCATGGTTTGCAAGTCAGCAACATGAAACTTAACTACCAAGCGATCAGGACTCCCCCAACTACCGCCACTTCCAGTGCCGCTGATGCGACTGTGCTCTAAAATCCGATTGACCTAACCGACCCTACGTCCCATAACTCAGGCATCAACCTAATCCTTATCCAATGGCAGCTGCTAATAATGGGCCCATCGCAGGCAGGAATCCAGACCTAAGACCAGGTTTTTTGCACAGGCCATCACAGGCCTGCTGTGAAACTAAGTGTTGCGTTGCGTGCGCTTCGGAACCCCGACGGCGATCAGAGACTAACGCGGAGTTCGAGAGTTACGGGCAGTTGAAGATTTACGGCTCAGAAGCCCAAGAACAACAAGTCAGTGGATCTCAACATCATGCCTGGTGGCTCTCTTCAGGCTTCTCTTCCCTTTCCTCAGTCTCCTCCTTCTCCTCCTTCTGCTTCTCATTTTCTTCGGAGTCTGGATCGTCGTCACTGTCAGTCTCGCGCTGCTTGCCTCGATGGGAGCATGCAGGCGCTTGATCAGGGAGACGGAACTCCAAAAAGAGACCTGACACTGCAGCAAAGGCTCGGGACTTGCCGTCAAGATTGGCCGAACCTGGCTATATCTTCTTCCCGCCGCTATACTGAATCGGTGGCACGTACACAGCTTCTCTTCGGCACTCACTGTTCGGCAAAGGCTGTTAAGCGGGCGGACTCCTGAAACAGAACTAGGTCTGCCAAGGAACTCCTTCGCTGCTCCATAATCTTCTCGTAGGCCTCGTGAAGTTCCTGGAACTCCGCCTTGTCGCCACCTGCACAGAGCCCAGGAGCCCTGCTAGCCGATGCCTGGCCTGTGATGTGTGTTTGGCCGTGGTCGTTTCTCTTGGGTTTTGGCCGCACACTGGTGCAACAACTTGTCCCCACGACAACTCTCCGCACAAAGGGCATGTAGGCGTCGTCGCCACAGTAATCGCTGGTCGTCCTCGTATGTAGTAGCAATAGCAGTGGCTGACACGCTCTTTACCAGAAGCATGAAGTATCACCACCAAGCCCTGATTAAGACTCAGCGGAAGCACGCCTCACCCCAAACACCGGCGAATTTACCATCACAAAGCTGGTGGATCGCATGTGGGGTGTCGTCGTAAAGGCCTTATAGTAGAAAGCGAAACCGAGCGCACCTTTGTCTGGGTGACACTGCATCGCCACAACGCGATATGCCTTCTTGATTTCCTCGGGCCGCACTTCGTCTTGCGGGGGCTACTGGGGATGCGGTTGAAGGTGCAGCGAGGCTCTGCATCAGACGCATCCGGCGACACCCCGAGGATGGAGTAGGCAGAGTTCTCGTGGAGCCGCGCGATTTCTGCCACAATCTCGCTCTTGAAGCACATCTGTCCTTGGTAGGCTTCACCCAGATGGAATGCTTAGCTTGGCAAACCGTCTGTGATACTGATACTGCTCTGCCTCGATGTGCCGGGTGTCTGAGGATGTACTCATCCAAGGCCCGGTTGAGCTCCTCGAGCCTCTGGACCGGCAAACTGTCTGCCTGCAGCTCTTGAATCTGCCGGCAGGAAGCAGGCATCATTCACAGGACTAGCAATCTCACGTTCGGTCATGCTGCACGCGCTGTCACCTTACCGAAAGAAAAGTAGTTGGCAGGCCTCCTGTGCAGCCTGAGACGGCGTCAGTTCCAACCTTGCCAGGTGCAACGTTTTTCTTACCACAATCCTCGGCAATGATCAGCGTCGCAATGCGTTGCAAACCAAGATGCTCTCTCGCCAACGCGAGGTCATCTAGAACGAAGGGTGCGGATGAGATCTGAAAAGCAAGGCAGGCGTCAAGCATAGCTTGCGACATGTGCATAGCCATGCGGCTGTGGGGCTGCACAGCGCAGCAGTCTTTGCCAGCATATGCGAAGCAAAATCTCACTGGGCGTGAGAGAAACTGAACTATGTCAGCAGCTGCTGCGCGTTCTCTCAGCTGCCCTGTGGAATGGTTCACTTGCGCCGGTGAGAACTCGACCATGCTTGGTCCTGTGTCAACCGAGTGAGGCGCTGACCCGAAATTTCAAGTCAAGCACCTGCTAGTAAACATCGAAATTCAAAGTTCGGGATCAAGAGAGGTGCAATTCGAAGCCCACCACATCAACTACGGATTCACGAGACTATTGTGCGCATACAACTGTTCAACGGGGGCCATGGAGTGAGTCTTCAGCGCTGTTGTCTTGCTGTGGCCGAGTCCTTAGGACGATGGCCACAACCTATTGACCTTAAAAGCCTCACTGCTCCGCGCGAGGCACAGCGGAGACCACTAGCACAGCCTTTCAGCCGCGTAGCTGCAGCACTGCCCGGTAGTCGTAGGTCTTAAGTCTTAAGAGTAGACAAGCAGGAGCAAACACGTGTCCGACAAACAATCTCGAGCAAAAATTGCAAAAATGCATACAGACCTCGTTGCCAGAGTGCGGCAGCAACAAAGCAAGGGTATCTTAAAATCTGCAAATAATGCCTTGGCCACAGATGCCGGGAACACCGTGAGTGAATCGGCAAGCCAGCTCAAGAACTTGTCAATTAGAGGCCATCTGCCTCTGAGGACGCAATGCCATTCGATCATGAAAGCCACGCGCACAAAATCGTGCGAAGCGTGCACCCAATTAAAGCATCCTAGCAGGTTTCACCTGGCTTGGCGGGACCCACCCTATTAGGGAGGGAGCCCCAGGCCCTAAGCACCACTCGCGCTCTGCGAAGACAGCCGCGGGCCCGCGAGGGGGGATTCACGGCCTTTGCACATGCTTGGTCTTCTGCAGCCGAAGTCGGCGCTTCTTCTCACCGGCATCACAGAGGTGGCAGAACAGGCAGGTTCGGCCTGCGACGGCTCGCAGGAACGATCAAGAACCGCGGCAGAGCTCTCTGCCAATGTTTTGCAGAATTCGCCACGGACGCTGGCGTGGGAAAATGCCTTGCCTTTTGCATCCCTTGCCTGAATCGCCGAACATTAAGTTCCCAACGAATGATGATGAGGGAGAGGGTCTGTGGGTTAGGAAAGGAGCGATGGAAGAAAACTGGAAAAGATAGAGTCAGCAGCAGAGAGAGGGAGGGAGAGAGAGAGCGAGAGAGAGCTGTAGATACGGCGTCAGTCTCACGGCCTGTCACACAGCGGTTTTTGTGGAAGAAGGCGCAAGGTCGACATTCACCAGTGGCATGAGCACCAGACCCAATACCTTGGCGGCACGTTCAATTCGGATTCAGTTCGGGCACAGCATGGCTCTGCAGGGACACTTACGCAGAACCACTGGTCTGCCTGGAGCCAACTTACTTGCGGTGGCACGGGCGGACGCCAGACCCAGAAAATCCAGAAAGCAAAAACAGGGACTGAAGCAGGCAAGGCACTTGGAAGTACTTCTGAACCCAGGACCGGTGAGCTCACCTGCCAAGTTGCCAAAGCCAGGGCATCGATATCCCCTCAGTTCCCTTTCGCTGGTACGGCAGAAAACTAGCCAGCCTGAAGAGGCGTCGTAACGGCAAGCTGCTTTGCCTTTTCGCGGTTAAGGACGATCAAGGAGCTGCTGGCGACTTATGACCTGTGACAACTCATCCGGCCTTGAGGTGATCAGGCGCATAGGTCGGCGGGATGTTTTGCCGGGCCTGAGCCTGTGCCAATTGCAGCCGCGATGCTTGCACTCTGCGGTGGTACTCTGCCGCAAGAGCTTGACCTGTGGTGCCCACTGGCGGGGGCACGGCATAGTAGGTTGTGCTGCAGGTCGGTGCTGCTGCAGGAGTTGGCCGGTATGGGTTTGCACCACTCTTCAATGGAGTCCTGGCCTTTGCTGGCTCTGCCGCATTGCATGCCGCAGGTGAGGGCTGAGTGTTCTCTTCCTCATGGAAAAAGCGTGGAGATGGCTCTGGCGTCTGCATGGCATCGTCTTCGTCAACATCAGCATCGCCGCATACAGCCCGGTCATCATCACCATGCTCGCTAGCCGGGCATGAGCGTATGCCTCTGGTGTCCTTGTACCACTGCTGCAGCGAGGGCGAATCACTCAAGTCAAAGAAGGTGTTCCGAACTCCCAGAAATGCGTCCTTGGACTGACAAGTCATAGATCTCATGGTCGTGCAAAATCGAAGTCTAAACCTGCCTCGCAGTCTATGACTGCTCTGGAACAGGTATACAGAACATGGCCGTGAAACAAGGCCGGGCATACAAAGGAGAGTTCCGAGTTAGCATAGGCGCTAGCATAGGCACCATCCGAGTAAAAATGTCAGGGACTAAACTCATACAGCAAACGAAACTTGAGCAACACAAGCCTACAAGTGAGAAGTGCTCAGTCTACCGTCGAGTCCCGGCCTAATAATCCCACGGGCCACTGGAAAGACATCGGGACCGTAAATGTGCCAGTTGGCGTGTTGTGTTCTTGCAAGACAGCCGACAGAGTAGGACAGCCGACAGCGTTGTCTTGGCGGCTGTAGTGTGTCAGAACTGGTGGTGGTGGTGGTGGTGGTGGTGGTGGCGGTGGGCCTGGCTGTACACCTTCTTAACAGCACATAAGTACACAGTGTCCTACCACCTTTGTTGCCTCAAAATGTATTTGTCGACGTTGCAAACTCGAGCTTGGGACTTCGGAGGGAGTGGCGGTTGGGGGGTTGGAGCGGAGGGGATGATAGCATTATCCTAGTGCGCACACACCACACGGTACTTCAAAAGCAAACCCTCCTCCGAAGTAGCAGTAGCAGTAGCAGTGGCAGTGGCAGTGGCAGTGGCAGTGGCAGTGGCAGTGGCAGTGGCAGTGGCAGTGGCAGTGGCAGTAGTAGTACTAGTAGTAGTAGTAGTAGTAGTAGTAGTAGTAGTTATTAGTAGTTAGTAGTTAGTAGTTAGTAGTTAGTAGTTAGTAGTTAGTAGTTAGTAGTTAGTAGTTAGTAGTTAGTAGTT